GTCCCAACGTACTCAGTCTTGGTCAACAGCTTCTTCGTCAGGTGAGGAACACCAACAGTATGAAGAACTTATACCTCCTGATAACTTTACCATGGTATCAACTTGGGTTTATAGAAGTAGTTTTCCCAAAAAAAAGAACTATGCTTTCTTGAAGAAACTTGGGCTGAAAAGTATTCTGTACGAATAAAAGAATTCTCAACTGGAATCTTCGATATTTTAATTTTTTTGCGTATTACTGCAAATGAATTATCGATTCAATTGAATCGTTATTTTTGTGTCCCCTAATAAAGAACGTTGATCCTCGAAGAGTATCCTGAACAAAATATGAAGTTCTTGGAAGCGAATGACATAAAATTTTTTCAATTTGGAATAGCTGGTAACAAGGTAACGTGAATGAATCATCTCCCATTCTATATACGCATAAAATCAAATTAACCTTTCTTGTTCTTATTATTAGGAACCTTTTGTTCAAAGTACGCATTGATGATTTCTTTAGATTGTAATTTATTTCTTATTTGACGAAATTATAAATAAAAATTTTTTGTAATGATACTTTTATCAGTACCCGAAGACAAAATATGCGCCGCGTTGGCCGTAATTCTAGGTAATGTAATGAAAGTTTAGAAAATGTATTTATTATTTATTTTTCATTCTAACATACTTTGACATTTCTTTCCCAGATCAACGTAATCATCCTATCTTGATTCACTGTAATAAGGGCAAGGTAAATTACTTTAATATTTTAGCTTTCGGTACTTTGCTTCTAACATTCTCAACTTAATATATTTGCTTTTACTTTAAAAGCATCGGACAGGATGTTTGATTGGATGTCTTCGCAAGCTTCAGAGATGGACCCATACTTCGATTTTTGAAGAATATCGACGTTTTTCGCACCCAAAGTCGCGTTCAATGGATCAGCAGTTTATTGAATTATTTGATGTATCTCAAGTATGGAAACTCGTTGACAAAAGACATGTTCCAAATTGGGAAGTTTTAGGTAATTAAAGTTAATTAATTTATAAATATCTTTTTTTTTTTAAAAAAAAAAAATAAATTAAACGATATTTAATGTATTTGTAGGTTATCCTTGGTGAATCAAATCTTCAAGTATTACAAAAGTGATTTATAAAGCATATTTACATATTTAGAACTTCTATATATAGCTTACGCTATTAATTTGATAATGTCAGATTTTTGTAAATTTGATTTATAACAATTATAGTTCTATTTAAAAAATTTTTTAAAGCATTTTATTTAATTCATGACTTATTAAAAACAATTGAAAATCATGAAAATCAGAAATTATATTCAAAAATATATTAAAACTTATTTTTTATATGATAATAAATTCAATTATTAGTATATTTTATGCTAACGTTTTTTTCTTCTTTTAGTTAAAAATCTTCTCTGAATCATGCTTGATTCTAGCATTATATCATCATTTCAAATGCAATGAAAATGAAAATTTAATAATAATTTGTAGTATATGGTTAGCTGCATGCTTTAAAATAGTTGTATAAAACCTAATCAAATATAATTTATGATATAAAAATCAAAGCAAGAGTTACTAAAGAATATATAATAGAAAATAAAGAATGTATAAAAGTTGAAAGGGTGATATTGTTTGCAGTCATCTACAGTTAAAAGTGATAAAAACTCAAAATAAATAATAAAAATAATTTTTTTTATTATTGTTGATTTTTGGTTTTTTATTTTTCTTTATTTTATATTTATTATTTTTGGTTTTTTTTTTAATACTAGTGTGAGAATTTTTTTATTTTTCTTTATTTTTATTTTTTTAGATTTTGGAAATTAATCAATAAGTTGATTTCTGTAATTGAATTTATTAGTTAAATTTCAAAAAAAGTAGAAAATCATAAACTTCTACATATTAGATTAAGCAAAATGGTAATAAATTTTTCAGTATTTTTTCACTTATAAATATTTTATATTAATACTATAAATAAAAACGTGTTATATAAAATTTATTTTATTTTTAAATTTATTACACTAGTTGAAACAAAAAATCAGCAATCAAAAAAAATCAGCCAACTATCGTCACAGTTTCAGCCGGCATTAAAAATCGGTTAAAAATCGGGCAAAATTCAATAACCGTTTTGTGATCAATTGTCCTACATAAAAATCGAATAAGAATCGGCGTTATATTATTTTTGGTTGATTGTTAACTAATTATCAAATCAACTAGTCGATTATTGGTTGATTGTAATAAACAAAAAAAAACCATTTTATTCGTAATATCAAATTGCTAATCAATTTCTAAATTAATAAAATTCAACTAAATAAATTTTTTGTAGCTAAATCAGAAACTAATTGTCATTATTTAACGAATATGATATTTTCTTCCAATCGGATTAATAGCCAAATATTGAACGGCAGTTCGACGATTCGAAGTTTTATATTTTACTGGAACAAATCTGCAAAGAATATTATGTACCGGTATTATGCAATCGTGACTTTCAGGATAAAAGTCATTATGTCACAATTCGACGTTACAGGTCTTGTTATCATCATCAATACTAAAATAATATCTCATTTTTGCTGAATCTGCATAGCGGTATCATCAAACATATGCTAGGTAATGTTCTGATGCTCCACTTGGCAAATCAACTGTGTATGTGAAAAAGTACTATATTTGCCCGGAATAACAGTCGATACCATTATTCATCATAAATTTTGCTAATATATAAGAACTTTTTTCATGTCGCGAGGATATTACTGAACCAAAGAACTCAGAGCCAATTCGACACCTTCCAAATTGATTCATTTTAATTCGAATTATTATAGCATCTAGTGAACCTTCTCCAAACGGCTTCCAGAATTTGAGTGATTCATAAGTCGCCATGTAATATTCAACCATCAAATTAAGCATTGAACTTGAAAAAGTAATGTTTTTGGAAGAAGGATTCAACATTTCGCCTAGAAATGGTTCACTTCCAGTAATAGTTGATTCTTGGATATTTATATAATTAAGCCGAAATCGATGCATATCGTCTGAAGAGAATTCTGTTTCTGAAAGGAAACTAACAGATTCCCTATTTTTCAATATTTTAAGCCCTTTCGTCTGCATTTCAGAATTTACAATCTTACTGATTTTATTGTTAAGCATCAGTCGACGCATTATTTCAGTTTCAATTTGCCGATGGCTATTTAGCAAAGAACCTAATAAAATAAATAAAATCACCAATATATAAAATACTATACATATTAGATAATCATTGATTGTAAACTTTAATTCAGCTTTACCTAACACTCCGTTCATGCGTTCAAAGGAAAAACACCAAAATGCAAAAGAGGGCCATAATCATAAGAATATTCGCATAAATGTAGCGAAAGGTGGAGATTTGGAGTTACCTTATCTCAACCATAATTTAATTCAATTAACTTTACGATTTTGATCAGCCTACTATGGGCTTCTCTCATTAGGTCAATCTCTATAATTCGTCCCATTAAAATCGTATAAACACTTACAAAATGCGTAAGAATTTTACGGTCATCGGCTGGAAGATGGTCCCAAAGTACAGCGGTTGCGTAAATTGTAAAGAAGGACCGCTATTGATCTGCAGTGAAATTTGTAAATCCTTCACCGCAATCAATTTTACTCGAGATTCGACCCAAATCGGATGGGACATGAAACTCTTTCATCTTTTCTTGAATTTTGTTAAGGACTGTTGGGGTTAATATCTCTTCATCGACCCAAATTCGTTTCACTATCTATTTAGCAATATCTAGGAACAGGCAATGCATCAGATCAACAATCAAGAACTGAATTGAATCAAAATATGGCAGTCGAAATAATTCAGACCATCTGACATCCATTTTCTTTACATGATTTTTTCTTGATGTATCTGAACTGCAACGCCTCCATTCTAGAGCGTTCTGACGATATTCAGTCGAATCTTGAGCAACAAACCAGGCGTTCATATCTTCTATACCTGCAAAATTATGTTTTTTATTCTCATAATTTGCATGCTTCTCGTACTAATGGCATAAGACAAGTGCTGAAACATAGCCACATATCTTTCTCGCAGCTGGAATATCACATGAAATTAATATTAATGCAGCCTGAATATCTCTTCCCTCTGGAAATTCAAAGGTACGATTTAAAGATATTCTGGTCCAGAATGTCTCTAATTCGTCAACAATCGGCATAAGGTAATGATTTATCTTATGCAAATTAACTTCATGTGGTCCTGGTAATAAATCGAGGATCAACATATTTTCACGTCTAAATCGAATACTTCTTGGTAGATTGCATATTGCGATATATATTACACCAGTATTGTAGGTTGTTCCCTCATAGAACTGAAACCAATTAAGGTTTATCATTAGCCCAAGGTGCGAATCTGCCACTTCAGGTCAAAAAAATTTGGGCGAATTTTCAGCTTTTGTTTCTTTTAATGTTTTCCATAATTGTTCATCGTATATATCTATCAATATATTATTGTTAAAAATCGTTCTACTCGTCTAATGCTGAAGTGACCTTTTAAAGTCAGGTCGGCGATATAAGACCGCCAATTGTTATCGGATTGGAGCAAACAGATAGATTAAATTTGGCCAATTTGTGATTTTTCCATTCACTAATCTCATTTGGGTAGATAATAGCGTTTCGTATAAACGTCCCTTACAAAGTGTTGAATTTGAGTACTCAAAATATCAGCATTTCATAATTGCCAGAATGCCATCTTGGTGAAATTCAGTTATGTCATTTTTTCGATATAATTTGTGACAATTTGAACATGACACGAAATGACAAAAATTATCTTGTAAACCAACAAGTGACTTCTTCGTTAAATAAAGTGAATTAGGGAAAGAATCAAAACCATTACCACTGATTTCTTTTAATACAAGTTTCATAAATTTTATGAGCGATTCTGTGACAGTCTCTGACAAATTGAATCTTGTACGAAAGCTCATTATCCATATTAAGATCCATGAGAATTGATCATTATTTGTTGCTGTTTCTTAAAATGGAGTAAATGATGGACATTAATAGTCCTCACTTATCGGCTAGATTCTCATCATCTAGCGCTATATTATCATCTGATGAAATTCGACTCACATTTGCATCTGAATTCTCAAAAAGGTTATCATCATTAGATCTACTGATAATCGGAACACGATTTGTGTTTCTTATATGTTTCGAGATAAAATAAGCTCAATATTTACGTCAGGATTTGCCGATTCTTATTTTATTCATTTTCATTTTCTTGTTGTCTAGATGGCAGCCCAGTTGTATTATCTGATGGCTTTGTGGCAAATAATCCATTTCTTGGATTGAATCTTCTTGAGTATCGGATAGGGATAGGTTGCCTGGCATTGGATCTTTTTCGGC